CCTGAAAAGACGCAACAGGTTGAACACGAAACTCTTGTTGAGGTTCAAAATAGCGTTTCATTTTTCATAGTTCAATACCTATAACAGCTATACATTAGTAGGTATTATGCTTATTGTATGACCATTGTTTCAGTCTTCCTTTTTACCATAGGCCATTGCTCGAACTTTTCTTCGTGCCGGACCATCATCTTTTGCCCGAGCCCTGTTCCTCATGTTTGGCTGCCTAGTTTCATTTTCCGCTTGAAATCCTTCAGGTCAATTGTAGTTCCAACCTTTTTCTTCAGTATGTGCTTCACAATTGACCAGTATTCCTCAATTGGCCTTAGTTCCGTTTGTATTGGCCGGATTCATCTCCTTGGGAACCACTGTGACGCCATTTTCGCTGTACCACTGCTTGGTGGAATTTGAGTAGTGGCAGCTTGCCAAGTCTGGCCAGACTAGGCAATCAAACCAAACTCCAGAATAGGCAGCAGTCTCTTCCGTAGGCACTCCTCCTGGTAAATTTGCTGGTTCATGGTCCCAGAAGTAACGAAAGTTTCGCTTTTCAGCCCACAACTGCAGATTGCTTGCCAGACAAGGAACTTTTTGGGGAATTTCGACTTCTTTTTGATTTTAAATTCTTCTGTTAACCGAGTTATAAAATTCCTGCTCAGCAATGTGATCGAAAATTGCCAGGAGCGGATAGAATGGGATTTTCGTTTCAAACGCGCATGATCGAATCGCGACGTGCTTGCTCCGTCGCCATGATGGAAACAAATGAACTTATCCTGACAACTTGGGAATGCGGACTCACTCAATATGCTTGTCACTTGGGAGCCAATCTGCCGTCTGGATGACGTCGCGGATGTCTTCCACCGTGGATCTGCCCTTACGGAACCCGTACTGGCTGCTTGACCTTCAGTGTAAGCCGACAACCTGTTGAGGATGACCCTCTCAAGCAGTTTACCAGTGGTATTCAGCAAACAAATGGGCCTGTATGCTGACGGGTCCCCAGGGGGTTTTCCTGGCTTCGGGAGCAGCACCAGCCTCTGCCGCTTCCACGCATCTGGGAAGATGCCTACGTCCAGACAGGTCTGAAAAACAGAACGGAACATGTCTGGATTTTCCGCAATGGCCGCCCTCAGAGCCACAACAGGGATCCCATCTGGGCCCGGGGCCTTGCCCACCACCAGCGACTTGGCAATATCGCTCAGTTCCCAACAATCGACGCCAGCATCGCTGGCGATCTCTCCGGGGGTGCCGCCACGCCGCGGGTCTTGGCCATGCCCACTTTGTAGACATCCCCCCATGGGTTCGTGTTGGCGCTTTGGCATAAGCGTCAAAGCACGCACGCTTGCGTCTGGCGATCTCTTTACTGAGGGCCGCCTTAAACGCTCGAAGAGCGACGCGGCATTCCTCTCGAGATTCAGTCGTACGAGCTCGTTGCATCCTCCTTCTCGCATGGTGGCAAGACGCCCTGAGGATAGCAATCGACTAACTCCACCAGTACACCGGTCTATGGCCATGCCTGGGATAGGCTCTCCTAGGCATAGTTGTATCGCACGCCCTTGTCAGCGATGCTACCAGTTGTTCCCCCGTCAGATCCGGGGTTATTCGCTCCCGCCTCAGAACGACGCAGGAAGAATTCCCTCCTGCCACTCGCCTCTCACCTAGCCCCACACTGCAGCGGATCGCCTGATGGTCACTATGGGTGTAACCCTCATCGACCCTCCAGTGTAGGTTGCCCTCCAAACACGGGCTGCAGTACGTCACATTAATGACGGATTCTGCACCATTCCTTCTGTAGGTACTGACCGAGCTGGTGTTGGCTAGTACAACATCCAGTTTGGTCATTGCCTCCAGTAGGATGCATCCTCTCTGGTTGGTGTGGTGGCTACCACACTCCACCGCCCATGCGTTTAAGTCGCCCGCAATGACCACCGGTCTTAGGCCGACAAGTACCGCAGTGAGTCTGTCCCCCATCTGCGAGAACTGCTCGATAGACCACCTGGGCGGAGCATAACAGCTACTTAGATATACTCCATTAACCCTGGCGATCACGAATTCCTCGCTCGAGTTGGACACGACTACCTCCTGAACGGGGAAGCTCCCCATCGTGCATATCACCGCCATCCCAACTGCGTCCGTGACCCAATTCCCGTTGCCGCATGGGACACGGTACGGGTCGGAGATGATTGCGACATCCACTCCCCATTCCGCTGCCGATTGCCACAACAGTTGCTGGGCAGCCGAGCAATGGTTCAGGTTCAACTGCGCTACCTCGAACATGGCTGAGCATTGCTCTTCCTGCCATGTGGTTGGTAGGGGATTTCCCCTTCTCCTTATGGCCCTCCGAGCCGCACCATCTGCACAGCTTGCTCCTGTCGGTGTTCTTACAGTCCCGAGCCACATGGCTCTGACCGAAGCACCTGAAGCAAGCCATAACTGGTCGGGGGATGCTCACTGGGCAAACCGACTAGCCCATTCGTACCCTCCCTGTGGCTGCCGCCTTCCTGGCATCAGCTGCCGGGAGCTTGACGGTAGCCACCTGGGTGGAGAACAGTCCCTTCCTCAAGGTAACCGCTGTTGGCGGTACCTCGATTTGGCACTGCTCCCTGAGCGCCTTGGCTAGTTCGGTTGCCTCTGTCACTTCATCCAAGTCCTTAACTTGGATGGTGATCGTCGTTTGCCAGTTTCTGGTACGTCGGTCCCTGGTCTCTAGCGCCACGCTTAAGCACCAGGAGCATCTCGCCAGTACGATTGCGCCTGATGTTCCTCACGTTATTGCCCATCTCCACAAGACGCTCGTTAGCTCTCACCTTCCTCAAGACTTCCGCGTATTTCGACGCTTCCGTCTTGATGATGAGAGCCTCGCCCATCGTGCTGTGTTTGTTCCGGCCAGTACTGCTCTTAGGGGCAGTCTTATCCGGCGGATTCGGGGGTTTCGGCGGCTTCGCTGGAGCGCCCTTGTTGCCACCCTGCTTAGAACTACTTTTCTCAATCGCTTTATTGCCTATTGTAGGCCACTTCTGCGGCTCGTCCACTGCTGCCATGGACTGCTCAACCACGGCCACACACTCTACCTGCGCTGAGACTTTCCGTCTCTTAGGGTGTGCCGCACCCTTTACTGGCGAGGGCCGGTCGCGCTTCTGCCCTTGTGTCACGGCAAAGTGGAGGGCCTCGCTGCTCATCGTACTGTTGCCTGCGAAGTTGAAGGCGTCCGTCTGGGTAGACTTCGGTTCCTTCTTCTCCGCCTTCTCGCCGACTTCCAGTCGCTTTTTTAGCCGCTTGTGGTCTTCTTGGGCCTTGTCCACCGTTGCGCGGAGCTGTCGCAAGGTCTGCTTGAGGTCCTTTGCGATATTGTTCCGCGTGCTGGTGAACTCGATGATCGTATCGAGCTGACCCGCGATAGCCAGTATCCTAGGGAGGGCTCCAAAGCCATTCATGGCTTTTATTAGCCTGGGCCCATCCATGGGTTGTTCCTCTGGCTGTCCGCCGGTCTCATCGGTTGGTTCTGCGTCCGGCAGAGGTTTCGGCCGCTTGGTGTCCTTGTTCAAGTCCTTGTTCGAGTCACTGGGTGGGGGAGATCTCGTAAGACCACCCTTCTAAAATTTCATACTTTACCCATTGAGTATTGATTAATCGCAAAACAAATTGTGACCGAGCGCGGACTTGAGGTTACGAGACTATTAAATAATCTCGGTTCTTTTTAGGATTATATATGAAAAATTCAAATTTGGCCAATGTCCACCGAAAAAAAATAAAACTACTTTATGACTTAAAGTGCAATGAATGAGCGTTAGTTTCGGGATCATTCAAGAGTTAAGACCCAAGCGCAATGACAGCGGAAGCGGAACGGCAGAGGCAGCGGAAAAGCCCGATCTGAGTAAGCCTACTTGTCAGATTGAAAACTAGTTAGAATCAAATCGACTTCGGTTAGTCATATTGACGTCATTTGTGACAACTGTCAAACTTGCCGTTTCCGTTCCGCTTCCGCCCACATTGCGTTTGAGCCTTTAGAGTTATGTTAGTTTTGATCCGTAATCAGCCCTGCCGGTCTTAGTTGCAGTTACAGAGAGTTGTTGTTATATGCAAATGCAAAATAAAACTTGACAAATCATCGTCAATCTCTTTATTCTTGGGCGGGACCTGACGATGTGAATCTGTTTTTTTGCCTTTGATTTGTTTTCCGTCGATCTTGTTTTCCGTGCTGAGCACCAATGCTACCGACGCCAGGGAGGCAGCTCCCACACCAGGACCCTACCTATCGACCCATCAACTCATGAACCTGGGAACAACAGCTTTACTTCCCTTCGGTAGGATGGCGTCATCAGAGATGTTATGGCTCAGAACATCCCGGCGGCGCCGACTGGGATTGAACCCAGGCCTGCTGCTGGGGTGAGAGGTAATCACACTTACCATTACACCACCGGCGCCGCTAATGTGAATCTGATTCAAGCCTATCTGAACTAATAAATGGAAACCATAACATGGGTTACGCTCCCCCCCTAAGCGGGCCCTCCGCATCCTATCTCTGTCTTATCTCAAATACCAAATGCCAATGGTTTGAATGTATCAATATATAAATTGGAAATGACGTTCAATCAAATAAACCCATACCCCACTCACTTGGCCAGGCTTCAGAATCGTCCAGTGGGCAGTGCGCTCTACACTCTAAGTTCCATTTCTTTCAAATTCACCCCAAATTTGATATTTTACCCCTTTGAGTGTTGATTAATCTCAATGAAACATTGTGACTGAGCACGGACTTGAGGTTACTAGAGTATTAAATAATCTAGGTCCTGTTTAGGATTATAACTGAAAAATCAAATTCTGGTCAACGCCCACCAATTATACATTAGCGTACTGTGTTGTCAAATAATATTTAATATTGGATAAAAAAGGGACCCTCAAACCACCCCGTATGCTCATTATTCCCCTTCGCCTCATGATTGTATATTGCCCGCCATCTGTTTTGTCCTTTTTTTTATATATAATCAATTTTGTTCCATTCCTTGCAGTTGGCTTAGAAATGTTCCATTCCCCTCCGATTGGCATAATCAATCCCCAGCCGAATGCAGGAGCTGCTCAGCTCAACGCCGGTACCAACAATCCTTCAAATGGTAAATATCTTCCAACGTACCTCGTTCAAATTCTAACGATGCTAACAACCCAACTTTTACCTTCTTCATCAGCCGACATCATTGACACCACCCCGATGGATATGGACCTAGAACCGGAAACGATAACCCACCACCACCATCCGAATGCCAACCCATCGCAGGTGGACATCGATAGTGAGCTTCGCGAGCTTCTCAACACCAGCAGCTCGAACGGGGACACCGGGGTCGTCGTCGTCGGAGCGGAACCGGACGCCAGCATCGAACAGATGCTGATGGATTGAATTCTAATGCTGCATGTAGTACCTAAGTTTTTCATTTGCATTTGTGTTTTACACCTAACAAAGACGAATCCGGTCTTATCTGCTTGAATAATAAGAAGGTATTAATTCCAAAAGCAAAAACTTCTACGTCAACGTTCGCCTCGATGACCCGAAGCATCCTGAATTTCCATCATCATAATATAACAAACATAACAATGTCTTTCTGCGGTAATCTGATTGTGGGAAGCAAATCACTGCGTAAAGTTTGCAGAGATTACACAAGTTGTGCGATAATCTCCTCGCTCAGGGCTTCAGCAGTGGAGTGGTGGTGTACTTTTCTGTTTGCCATCACCCCAACAATTGGCGCCTGTTTTCTCATTACCCTTGAACTTGATTTCATCTCCGGCTTCGTGACTGTGTGTGCGCGCGCGCTTGGGACTTCAAGGTGGAACAAGCAACAAACCCCAACTCGCACCCGCCATCATCGTCATCTTCTTCAATTGCAGTTAAAGAAAGTCGTAATCGCTCCCATAATTCCCAGTGTGGCATAAAAGAGCCATAAAACTGCTCGCTCGCTGGGTGGCATGGTCCCGGTAGTCTAACACGCAGTGCGAAGCGGAAAGTATAGATGAGTATCAAAAGCTAACGAGAGGGAAAAGTCAATTAATCGGTTGGGATCACACGGCGGCGGCCCGGTCGTTCGCTGTAACGATCCGTAAAAGGCAAAACGGGAAGAAAGGATTACGTGAAATAATGTGTCACACAGTTGGGAATTAGTATGGCTCAACAGCAATAACTGAACAACTAGTAGCAATCGTATTCCCCTTGCTAGGGGGGTGAAATGCCGCTACACCCGTAATTACGGAACTAATGAAGTGAAGATTATGTCGCCGAATTGCACTTTCGTATTGTATCAAACCCCGGCGCTCAACCGGCAGAACAGAGATGGAAGCAAGCGATAAAATCGAAATAAAATAAATAATATTCGTGAGCTTGGAGGATAATATCCATCGGCCACTGTGCTCGGGTTTTATGGTTTTGATCGCTTTTCGAGTGGTGGGACGATAGTCAAGAGGTGAACTGTAAGAAGTCGACTCAGAACGGTGATTTAGTACCGTTGCGGACGATTATATTTCCCTTTCTGCCTCATTTGATTTATATTAGCGCGATATTTCACGCAACGAATGGTATGCTCAAACGTAATTAGCGCATTTTTGTTTCGGTTGTTGCATACATTACGCGGATATTGATCTGTCTTTGTGAATGATTAGTGCTTGTTTTTTTTGTATATTAATTTATTTGATAAGGCTCAAACGAATTAACTTTACAGAGCCGAGGATTCTTGGTCACTATACAATACATCTTAAAACTATAGTCAAAAGGTACAACACAATAAACACTTTATCTTCCGCTAGCCAAAAAGCCTCCTCCATCAGAACTGGAGCCGCTTCCAGTGGTTACATTGTATGGCAGTTACGCCAGCGGGGGGCAGAGCGCTTCCATAGCAATGGACGCAAAACGTGGTGAGCACTCACACACTCATCACGAAACGGTTGCTTTCCATAGTCGACGACGCATCGACCGAAAGAACTGCTGATGAAGATTGAGGAGGACCACACAATTGTTGCTGCCAAGAAAACAGACGATCGCGTGGCACGCATCGAGAGTGGCCTGCTTTTGTCGACAGCCGAATGAACACTCGATTAGTGCTTGGTTTGGGTTAAATTCTAAGTTATAAATTTCAGTTCCTAATTATGGACAGTTCGATGCTTTTCCGATAAAATTGTTTATTTTAGTGAGTACCAATATCGGTATCTGCTAGCAAAGGCTAAGGATACATAGATATAACCACACATATTCAGATAATCATCTGGTAATCCTATAATCTAATATATAACCTATAAGAATATCCAATGAAAGGCTATGATTGAACATGTGTCAGGTAAACGCTGTATGAATAACTGATACATTTACACCGTTCATAAGTTGATCACTTCTATCTGATCGTCATATGACTCCCGTAGACCATTCTTAAGCACCTTGCCGAAGGTGGGAGAGCTTAATCTCATGCTGTAGGCCTGCATGGGAGACCAACACAGTGACCCGAAGTGATGGTATCACATATTCTTTTCATTAATTTCTTAACCACGTCGTAGTACGTTTATATAAAAGCGCTAACATCAGGTGTGATACCGGCGGGTTTTGCCGTAATTTACTTTTAAACTGGACGATACTAGTTAGATTAAATAATATACCACAGACAAACAGACGTAACACTTCATTGTTTATCTTCGTTCATGCATTTAACGGTTGATTTGAATATTAAAAGTTCCGCGAACTACTCCCCGCAGCGCTGGCATCGGATCACTTTGACGTTTCTATACATTCTATAGAACTTTTATGCATTATTGTTTGCGAGCTAGCGAGCAAGCTTGTTTTCCGCGAGAAGCCCGAGAGATGTCGTTACTGAGGTCATATGTTTTGAGATACTATGTTTTCAAGAAAAACTTTTTCAAAGAGTTATGTCTGTTTGTCTGTGAATATACGTTATATCTGTATTCCAAATACTTTAGGGAAAACGACAAAAAAGTGCACTTTTCAATTACGTGACTTACTTTCATTATTTTCCATTCATTAATATTGGAGTTGGGATGAAGTCAGGTGGCCGTGAAAGTGTACTCACCCTAAACAAAATGTACTTTTGATAGTAAACTAATCGTGAAAGCGTTTAAGCGGAATCCCAATGCTTCGGTCAGGGATTTGGCGAAAAAGTTGAATTTGTCCAAATCTTTCGTTCAGAGAGCCAAGGGCCGGGAGGGACTGCATACGTACAACGTACAGCAGGCTCCAAATCGTGACGAACGGCAAAATACGGTGGGAAAGTCACGTGCCCGGAAACTGTACACCCAGATGCTGACGAAGCTTCATTGTCTCATCATGGATGATAAGACTTACGTCAAGGCGGACTTCCGGCAGATGAATGAAATAAATATGCCAAAAGCTTACTAATGGGTTATATTTTATCGTCTGAAAGTTTGAAAAGGATCGGTCAAGTAGGTAGTTGTCTACAGCGTTTTTTTTTTCGTGATGCGATTTGATGTGGGACACCTTTTAAACAAAATTTACTTTTGATTGGAAACTTATCTCGGAATGAAGCATTTTATCACAGAAAAGCATTACTTAAGACGGACGAAGTCAAGTTCAGTGCTGAGATTTGTCATTGTCATTGACAGACTATCGCGCGATATTGACAAAATTGTTTGTCACATAGTCGGACTTGATCTTCAAAAAAACCTTCTTCAAAATCACATTCATTGTTTCGTCAATGACAAAGATTCACCTGGTAACAAAAAGTGTAATATCGTGCATTCTGTGTCACATTATTGTTATCCAAGCAGGGCAGGACGTAGATGCAAATTCAAATTAACGGATCCATGTCATTATTTTGTTTAAGTCATTTAATTTCGTTACAAATTTAGTAATTAAAAAAAAAAATCTACACATGTTTGTCACTGACAGCATTGTCATTGACAATTGACATGGCTCGCCTTGACTGTGACTGTTAGCACAAATGAGTGACCAAAGCAGAATTGTCAATATCACCGTGTATTGTCGAGATTTTGCAGCACTGGATAGAACGATGAGATCGAAAAATTCACTTTTCCCATAGTAATTATCACATAAACTATAAAGTGCCAGTGCAGTTGAGCATCCAGCATCCAAATGAGTTAAATTTTGGAAAAATTACCAGGACCTTATTTGAAATCGATTGAGCTATTTTGAACCACTCTAGTTTATGTGTTTAATATGAGCTTGATATATGTAGATAAACGTGCTCAACTTTTTGACTCAGCTCTGGTACTCTCTTCGGTCCCAAGCTAATCGATGCACGAATCCACGAACCCCTTTCTTTTAAATGTCAAACTTTCATAGCGAATCAAAACAAACATTGTGTAGTACCAGAGTTTCGTCTAGAGTGGGGTACGTTACTCGATTTGCTTGGAACCAATAGGCTAGTGAAGTAGTTAGTTTCCACCGGTTGGTTTCAGTAATAGAGCTAATAAACTATAGAGGAAGAATAGCGCTGCCGTCGCTGTCGAAACATCTAATAGGGACACAACTGTCAAAGTGAGAAAAAACTATGCAGTTTGACAGTTCTGTACCCGGTATGATCAACAATCAATACGAAACTAATAATTTTAAATTGGCTCACTACTTGACCAACCCAACGATTAACGTACCCTATTCTAGTCGAAATTCTACTACTACACAATGTTTGTTTTGATTCGCTATGAAAGTTTGACAGATAAAATGAGGGGTTAGTGGATTTTCGAGGGGTGAATCGATGAGCTTGGGACTGAAGAGAGTACCAGAGCTGAGCCAAAAAGTTGAGCACGTTATTTCGGGACCTTCTAGTCTTGGAGTTACCTCTATGGTATTATTCAACATCGGAACAAAGAGAACACCAGCGCTATCCTTCCTTTATAGTTTATTAGCTCCATTGTTTCAGTTAGTATTTGGCCGCTTCTTTTTAATTACTGTAGCGTCTCTAGTTGTCGTAGCAAGAAACTATTGGCAAATCAAAGTTGGCACTCGTAGAGAATAGAAGAACTATGAAAGTGATGATGGTTTCAAAATTTTCCACGGGGAAGTATACGAGTGCAATCTTAAAATGCTTTTATTTTGAAAATGGAGCATTTTATTTAAATCTGGTTACTGCTTCAGTGGTAGAAAAGCGGAAGTCTATGTTTACACCTAAAAATCTGAAAAGAAATTATGTTTTCTGTATTATATGTCTATTGAGTAGTCCTGAAGTTTGCTACTAACGTAGCACTAACCAGATTTAAATAAAATGCTCCATTCACAAAATAAAAGCATTTTTAGGTTGCACTTGTATACTTCCCCGTGGAAAATTTTGAAACCATCATCATTTTCATAGTTCTTATATTTTCCACGCGTGCCAACTTTGATTTGCCAATTGACAGCGTTTTGATCCGGAAGGAGTGTTAAATTTCATCAGGGTTCATATTCTTGTTCAAAAGCTATCGAAGATGGAGCGTGACAGCCGTGAAAAAATTCTGCACACTCACATGCAAAAT